TAAGGAGAAACGAATTTACAAAATTCCCTTATAGATGTCTGGAATCATCATGAAATAATCTGACACTCGGTTATACATACATGGAAATTCAGGTTGCAATGCCCCTCTCTTCAAGAGCAGATGACAATAGAGGTACCAAGTTAAATACATCCAGATTTAGAGAAAATAATAATGATAACACAAGCCACTGTGGTGTCTGAAAATGAGTGCATCAAGTCTATCACCACACATTCCAGAAATTAAGTCAGCATTTTGATCCAATGATCTAAACATATGCTATAGGGATAGTTATCAAAGGAAAAACTATAAAACCCTGCAAATGTACTTAATTCAGGATGCCCCAACAGGTCAGCTCTACTTAAAAATATATATAATTAATATCCATGGCGATAACTTCACTCTGCTAGTAAAAATACTTTACAGGTAAACATTTTGGTGGCCACAAATATCAAATTTCTTTAGATTTCAATTCTTTCATTGTGAAAGAGATCACACAAATTTTCCTGTCTCATGGGGCTGTGGTGAGGGTCAAATGAAGTGACACATTATAGAGCTGAATAAAGTAAAAACACTAAATATATACAGTGCTCCTTTGGTTCCACAGGGAATTGATTCCAGGAACTCTATGGACAGCAGAATCTGTAGACATTCAAATCTCATATTTAAAATGACGTATTATATGCATTTAATATATGTACATCTTCCTGTATATGTTTTAATGTCTAGATTGAATATACTACTAATATAGGACTTATTAAGGAATACATTTTAGGAAGAAAGTAAGGGTAAAGGTTCTCAGTGGAAATTTTCCTGTAATAAGAAGCAACTCCCAAACCATTTCTTTTCTAACAAAAAGGCAGCTTTAAAAACCAGGCTGGCAAGCTTTAATAGGCAAATGATGGCGATTAGAACCTACGTCCACTCAACACGGTCAACACGGCAATTCCCGCCATCTTCTCCTGGTCACCACCTGTGCCAAGTGTAATGGCTACCTCCAGATAACACCAGGTATTCGGAACATCACAGCGACCCTCATTTGCATATTAAAGGACTAAGGTGGGAGGGTCAGGTTTCTGGAAGCTATGTAAATGACATACCTGGTCAAACCAATCCCCTGGGCCCTGTGCAAACCAAACACTGCCTCCTCCAGCATTCCAATATAAGCAACCACTTTTCTGCCGCACATGGGGTTCCTCTTTGTTCTGAGCCCCCCTCCCTCTGTCTCTGTATGGGGGAACTGTTTTCTTCTTTCTTCTTTCTTGCCTATTAAACTTTTCATTCCTAAAACCACTCCACCTGTGTCCATGCCGTTAATCCTACCAGTGCGAGACCAAGAACCCTGGTGTTCCTCCAGTCATCAAAGCCATATCAATACCTAATACAATGTAAATGCTATGTAACTATTGTGTTTTTATTGTATTATTTTCAATGGATGTATCATTTTTATGGGTTTTTAAAACTATTTTCTTTTTTTATTTGTATACATTTAAGGGGTGCAAGTGCAATTTTGTTACATGAATATATTGCATTGTGGTGATGTCTGGGCTTTCAGTATATCCATCAGTCAAATAATGTTCATGATGCACATTAAATACTTTCTCATCTTCCAGTCCCTTCCTTCCCCACAACCCTTCTGAGTATTCATTATCTATCATTCCATACTCTATGTGTACACATTATTTAACTTCCATTTTTAAGTGAGAACATGCAGGTTTTTTTTTTTTTTTTCTGTATCTGGGTTGTTTCACTTAATTAAGATAATGGCTTCCAATTCCACCTATATTGCTGCAGAAGACACGATTTTATTTTTTATAGTTGAATAGCATTCCATATGTGTGCATATGCCACATTTTCTTTAATTATCTGTTGATGAATATTACAATTGATTCTGTGTATTTCATACTGTGAATAGTACTGTGAAACCTATCAGTGCAGATAATTTTTGATTTAATTATTTCTTTTTTGGGGAGTAGAGACACAATAGTGAGATTGCTGAATGAAATTTTCTTCAAATATTTTTGATTCACAGTTGTATGGATACAGAAACTACCAATACACAGGGCCAAATGTACCACTATAGTATATTTTTAATAACTGGACTACCAACTCCCAGAAGCAGTAATTTAACTAAGCCACTATTTTATTTGAAACACTGACATGTAGTATTTTAAAACTGTTTTTATTCAATAAACAACAAAAACAATCACAAAACTATCAAAATGTCTGCCATTATCTATTTCAATAGAGAAATTGATAGATTGAATTTTTAGTGATTTGGGAGTATTGTAAGCATTGTTTTTAATTTATCTCCACCTCCCCATAAAAGTAAGCAAAGAAAATTAAATGACTTAAATCTTTAAACCATCCAATAATAAAATTTATAATCAAAATAATCATTTTACTTTATAATCTCTTAAAGCAACAAAATTTGTTACTGTTGTGTAGCCATTATTCATTCACATAATTTCTTAGCTAACCAACTTATTTATGTTTGTTTGTTTAATAAATCATCCAGTACAAAATGATTCTTAAATTCAACATTTTTCTTGTTGTTATTGTACTGATGGGAGAGTAAACTGTTATATCTCTTTTGAAAATCATCTGTACTAGGTAGCAATAATTAATATTTTAAAACAATTTTCATGAACTACTTGATAGATATGTTTAAAAAAAACTATAACTCAAGTTAAAAATAAGAAAGTATTTTTCATCATAATATAAATTTAAATCATTATATATATGTATGTATATACATACCTGCACATAGGTGAAAGGTTAAGTAACGTTTGGCATATCTATATAACAGATTATTCATTTAAATTTAGATAAAACAATGAAGATTAAAAGCTATCTTTGTGTTTTTAAATTACAAATTATGAATATATATAAAGGATATATATATATATAGAGAGAGAGATGTATTGTAACTGAGATATATGTGCATATATATCAATCACCAGGCAGATATAATTCATACAAAGGGAATTAGACAGAAATATGAAGTATGTCAAAATATTGTTTGCATTTGTTCTGGGTGACGGGATTTTAAGTCTTCCTTTGGCTTTATACTTTTTGACACTGTTTTGAAATTTTTCTTCAATGAATAAGTAATACTCAGGTTTTTTTTTTTTTAAAGAAGTACATTTGTCAAATCTAAAAAGAGCACTAAAATGGAGATTAGGTATTCTAGAGACTATATCAGCTCCAAGTGGAATTAAGGAGGATATAAAGTCACTCAAGTCTCTGGGCAACTAACAGTCAGTTAGGCCTCACTTCTATCTTTAGTGGAGGATTTCTACTTCAGCTAGCAGCCTCCCCCAAGTTAAAAGCAGCTCTCAAGCATTAATAAGGGCACCAAATTCATCATTATGCTCTGCAATTGCCAGCATGTGTCATTATTTTTAGGATGAGATGTAAATGCTTTGACAGCAAGCATTACTTCTTCAAAGTCTACATTTACTTAAAAAAAAAAAAAAAAATCACATCTATTCAAAATTGAACATTTCCTAAGAGGAAAGTACCTGAAATAGAATCTACTACTCATCTCAGGGCTCACCAGTTCGTAGACTCCTTTTCAAAGGTGCATGGGTGAATGTCTGTGGTAACAGGTACTTCAGTGCTATCAGGTTGGTGCAAGAGTAATTGTGGTTTTTGCCATTTTTTTTTTTTTAATGGCAAGAACCTCAGTTACTCTTGCACCAACCTAATAGTTGAGTTTCTACTGTCTACTTCCTTGACACATCTAAGTCTGTCTGTCTATCTATATATCTATTTATCAATCATCAACATATGTTTATTCAAGACTTAAACTGTGCACTGCTGATATATTAGCAGGTAAATCAGATAAGTGTGCTGCCATCAGGATGAGTGCATAAATACATTACAGCAGAAACCTTGGCTGCCTCCCACAGCAACTCCTTTTCTGTTACTTATCTGCAAAAGAAACAGTCTTTCACAATAGAATCTAAAAATGCTAAGGTTTTACCTTTGCATGGATGCATAACCTAGTTTGGAGAACTTTCTCAAAAAACTCTCCTCCTTCAGAAAAAATAATGACTTTGGAGGACAAATGCCTCCTTTTTCTGCTTTGACTGTGTACATAGTTGGATGAAGACACTATATATATATATATATATATATATATATATATATATATCTTTAGTGACCATCATGATTCTATGAGGAACCAAGACTTAGAATAAGTCTTTAAGTTGAGGGTTGTCACATGGAGTGATGTGGAGGACAATGCAAAACAAACCTGAGTCTTGTTGACATTGTTGAGCTATGAAATAAACTATAACATTGTCATGCTTCTGGGCCTTTTGTTATTTGAATTAATAAAAGTCCTACAGTGGAACAGTTTTTGGGGGTATTATATACACTAAAGGAATTCTAATTCATGAAACTTCATAGTCTCTTTGTATTCAGGTCTCCTGATTTCATAAAATGTAAAATGACATGAAATAACAAGGTTTATATATAATATATCTCATATTTTAAGTCATAAAAATTTTCAACAAGTCCTGATCTCGGTAATATCTGAAAGTTGACGTTTTACTAATCTATATTCAACTGGTATATTACATAGAATTAAAACACTGAATATTGCTGAACTGTCTCATTGTCTTCCACTAACATTTATTTCTAAAACTCTGATCTGAAAAATAAATTTAAAAGATTCAAAAGTCCTTGTATGATGTACTTCACATAAGTCTCTCAGCTTAATATCTGCAACTCGTGAACTCTGGGGAAGCAGGATTTGTTTTATAGACTCCTAACCTGCTGGAATAAGCCATGCTTTTGATTAAGAATGAATGTAGGAAATAATATTTCCACTTTATCTCTAATTAAGTAGGCAAGAAAATAAAAGTATTTCTAAAGCAGTCAAATACAACTCAAATTCATGAGAAATTCCAGAAATCAAATTTAAGCTAAATAATGTTCTTGATATTTTTGGTATTGGGATAGAAAGTTTCAGGGAAAAGAGAAAAGATTCTCACCTTAAATAATAAATCCTTCTTCCCATAACGAAGCTCCTTCAGCTGGGCTTGGATTTTTTTGGACTGTAAGACAAAAACATGGATAGGTTGTGTAACTCATTTATATTTTCAAACTTGAAGATTAAAATACTTTCAGACTTCACAGGAATACATTTTGCAGCCAAGCAAAGCACAGTCCAACTAGTTTAGAAGTAAAACAGAAAACCTTAACTCTGAGAGTTAAATTCCACTCAAATTCATTTTTTAAAATTTTTTATTATACTTTAAGTTCTAGGGTACATGTGCACATTGTGCAGATTTGTTACATATGTATACACGTGCCATGTTGGTGTGCTGCATTCATTGACTCGTCATTAACATTACGCGTATCTCCTAATGCTATCCCTCCCCTCTCCCCCGACCCCACAACAGGCCCCTGTGTGTGATGTTCCCCTTCCTGTGTCCAAGTGTTCTCATTGTTCAGTTCCCACCTATGAGTGAGAACATGTGGTGTTTGGTTTTCTATTCTTGCGATAGTTTGCTGAGAATGATGGTTTCCAGCTGCATCCATATCCCTACAAAGGACATGAACTCATGCTTTTTTATGGCTGCATAGTATTCCATGGTGTATATGTGACACATTTTCTTAATCCAGTCTATCATTGATGGACATTTGGGTTGGTTCCAAGTCTTTGCTATTGTGAATAGTGCCACAATAAACATACGTGTGCATGTGTCTTTACAGCAGTGTGATTTACAGTCCTTTGGGTATATATCCAGTAATGGGATGGCTGGATCAAATGGTATTTCTAGTTCTAGATCCTTGAGGAATTGCCACACTGTCTTCCACAATGGTTGAACTAGTTCACAGTCCCACCAACAGTGTAAAAGTGTTCCTATTTCTCCACATCCTCTCCAGCATCTGTTGTTTCCTGACTTTTTAATGATCACCATTCTAACTGGTGTGAGATGGTATCTCATTGTGGTTTTGATTTGCATTTCTCTGATGGCCAGTGATGATAAGCATTTTTTCATGTGTCTGTTGGCTGCACAAATGTCTTCTTTTGAGAAGTGTCTGTCCACATCCTTCTTCTTTTGAGAAGTTTCACCCACTTTTTGGTGGGGTTGTTTTTTCTTGTAAATTTGTTTGAGTTCTTTGTAGGCTCTGGATATTAGCCCTTTGTCAGATGAGTAGATTGCAAAAATTTTCTCCCATTCTGTAGGTTGCCTGTTCACTCTGATAGTAGTTTCCTTTGCTGTGCAGAAGCTCTTTAGTTTAATTAGATCCCATTTGTCAATTCTGGCTTTTGTTGCTTTTGGTATTTTAGACATGAAGTCCTTGCCCATGCCTATGTCCTGAATGGTATTACCTAGGTTTTCTTCCAGAGTTTTTATAGTTTTAGGTTTAACATGTAAGTCTCTAATCCATCTTGAATTAATTTTAGTATAAGGGGTAAGGAAGAGATCCCGTTTCAGCTTTTTCCTAGCATTATTTATTAAATAGGGACTCCTTTCCCCATTTCTTGTTTTTCTCAGGTCTGTCAAAGATCAGAGGGTTGTAGATGTGTGGTATTATTTCTTAGGGCTCTGTTCTGTTCAAATACATTTTAATTATCAATTTTTCCTTCATGTGATCATGTTAATTTATTTATTTGTGTGTGTGTGTGTGTGTGTTGTTATTGGTTATTGGTGAGTTAAACCTTAACTTTGAGAGTCAGACCTCCAGACATCCTAGGCAGAAAGAGAAAAACCAAAGCTTGTTTAAAATATGTTATTTAAAGAAAATTGAGTATTGTTCTTCCCCCAATCCAAAACTAAACACACAGAATTTCTGTCACCCAGGCATGACCAACAATCTAATTGTAGATGCTAATTACATCTGTGCATATGTATGCCTCATTTTTTACTACTTATTTTCAATTACTTTTTTTAAATTTAATGGGAATAAATTTGAATTTGATATATGTCCAAAGTAGAAGCAAATGTGACTGGAAGCAAGAAAAGTTGCTACAATACTAATGCTGAGCTGAATGTTGTTTGCACTTTAGAGTAATACACTTTTTAAGAGGGCCATCACAAATAGGAAAATACTTAAAAAGAAAATCTTTCTCAGTAGTATGCTTTGACTACCACATTTAATTATGGTCCCTTAAGTCACTGAATGACGATCATGTATTTTGAATTTTTCAGGACAGTCCCAATTACTAAAATTATAATATAAGGACTTCAGATTATTGTACTTCTATACCTAAAATTATAGGTTCTGATTCTTTATTCAGGCAAAAAACAAAAAAAGAAAACCACCACCACCAATAACCAATAACAACACACACACACACACACACACACAAATAAATAAATTAGCATGATCACGAGAAGGAAAAATTAATAATTAAAATGTATTTGAGTGGAATTATAAATTAGTATCATCACTTGGGGAAACTGGCATTTTCTGATAAAAATAAACATATGTACACTGCATTACACTGCAATATGTCCTAGGTAATTACCCAAGAGGAACTATAACATATACAAAAATACTTAAGGCATCTTTATTCATAATAGCCAAAAGCTAGAAAGAGCACATATGTTTAATAAGCAACGAAGAGATAAATTGTAGGATATCCATGACATGGAGTACTAGAATACTGTTGAGCAACTGAAAAGGAATGAAGTACTGAATCATGGAACAACACGGACAAATTTCAAAAGCATTATACAATGTGAAAGAATCCAGTAACTAGAAGCTATATTATGTATAATTCAATTTGGATAACATTCCAGAAGGCAAACAAACAGGGACAGAAATCAGTTTAGTAGTTGACATGGACTAATGGTTGGGGTAAAGATTCAGTGTAATATAGCAAGCAGACATTTTGGAGGGTAATGAAAAAATTGTATGTTTTGAATCTATACATTGGTCAAATCCATCAAACTGTACACTTAAACTAGATAAATTATATTGTACTGTAAATTATATCTCAATAAAATTAAATTTTAAAAGAAGCTTGCTACAGTAGGTAATGAACCCATGATCTTTATGTCACTATTACATCCTAGTAAACTGTGTTGATATAAAAGTCCTCTTTAATAAAGAATATCTGCCTATATTGTAGAAATATAATTTTCTAAGCTTACAATGGAATATGAGTTGTCCACTGAACCAACTGCAAGTTTATTGTGATTTGGTTTTCTAAAATATTCAGATTTTTTTTTTTTTTTTGAGATGGAGTCTTGCTCTGTTGCTTAGGCTGGGGTGCAGTGGCACATTCTCAGCTCCCTGCAAACTCCGCCTCCTGGGTTCAATCAATTCTCCTGCCTCAGCCTCCTGAGTAGCTGGGACTACAGGCGCACACCACCATGCCAGGCTAATTTTTTGTATTTTAGTAGGATGGGGTTTTACTGTGTTGTCCAGGCTTGTCTCAAACTCCTGAGCTCAGGTAATCTGCCCACCTTGGCATCCCAAAGTGCTTGGATTACAGAGGTGAGTCACCACACCCAGGCCCAGAATATTTCTAATTATGCAATGTACTCGATTTGTGAAGTAGTAACTGTGTTATAATGGTACAATAATTTTTCAATTGTTGTTCAATGCTATAAGTACGACTGATTTAAGTGGAAACTTGAATGTGTTGTCAATGATACACTACTACAAGGTTCTAATATAAGAAACACAGTTTTTCACAGATATTTCTATTATAAGTCACCTGCATTTCATGATCTTTTGAATCAGGAAGTTAATAAGAAGGAACAAAAAGAAAACAAAATGAAATAAAATTTAAAAAAGAAAAGGAAACAGGAAGAGAAGGAGAGGGAAAGGGGGAGGTAAAGAGGAAGTGGGAGAGAGGAAAAGAAGGAAAGAGGAGGAAAGAGAGGAAGGAAGAGAGGAAAGGGAAGGGAAGGGAAGGGCAGGGAAGGAAAGAAAGGAGGGAAGGAGGAAGGGAGGGTAAGTTAAGAGTGAGAGTGAGATATGTTAATAATTCTGTATCACTTAACTCTGTACAAAGCAGCAGGTTTCTCACAGGGTAGTTGATTTTTTTCATTTCCACAGAAAGTCACCTTTCTTTTTATATGGATAGTGAAGGTAAAATGCATGATGCATAAGAACAACAAAAAGACATGATTTAGTAAACCTACTTGTTAATGGCTTTTATGAATACAAACTCACATTGAGCCCTCAGTACCTTGACTTTATTCTTCCACTTCAGAATCACATTTATTACATCATTGTCTGTCCTCACACAGCTTCCCATGTGACTCAAAATAATATTTCAAGTACAGCATCTATGTCTTATTATGTTAATTTACTCTCTGTATTAGTCTGTTCTCATACTGCTATAAAGAAATAGCTGAGACTGTGTAATTTATAAAGGAAGGAAGCTTAATTGATTCAGTTCTGCATGGCTGGGGAGGCCTCAGGACACTTACAATCATGGTGGAAGGCACCTCTTCACAGGGCAGCAGAAGAGAAAGAGAGTACCAGCAGGGGAAATGCCAGATGCTTATAAAACCATTGGATCTCCTGAGAACGCACTATCAAGAGAACAGCATGCGAGAAACTGCCTCCATAATTCAATTACCTCCCACCAGGTCCCTCCTGTGAAATGTGCAGATTATGGTATTACAATTCAAGGTGAGATTTGGGTAGGAACAAAAAGTCAAACCATATCATTCTGTCCCAGCCCCTTCCAAATCTCATGTCCTCACATTTCAAAACAACCATGCCCTTCCAACAGACCCCAAAGTCTTAACTCATTCCAGCATTAACCCAAAAGTCCAGGTCCAACATCTCATCTGAAACAACACAATTCCCTTCTGCCTATGAGCCTGTAAAATCAAAAGCGAGTTAGTTACTTCCTAGATACAATGGGGGTACAGGCATTTGGTAAATATACCCATTACAAATGGAAGAAATTGGCCAAAACAAAGGGGCCACAGGCTGCATGCAATTCTGAAAGTCAATAGGGCAATCATTAAACCTTAAAGTTACAAAATGATCTCCTTTGACTCCATGTCTCACAACCAGGTCACGCTGATATGAAAGGTGGACTCCCATAGCCTTGCACAGCGCCACCCTGTGGATTTGCAAGGTACAGCCCCCCTCCCGGCTGCTTTCATGGGCTAGCATTGAGTGCCCATGCCTTTTCCAGGTGCACAGTGCAAGCTGTCTGTGGATCTACCATTCTGGGGTCTGGGGGACAGTGACTCTCTTCTCACAGCTCCACTAGGCAGTGATGCAGTGGTGACTCTGTGTGGAGCTCCAAACTCACATTTCCCTTCTGCTCTTCCCTAGAAGAGATTATCCATGTAGCTTCTGCCTCTGCAGGCAATTTCTGCCTGAACATCCAGGCATTTCCATACATCCTCTGAAATATAGGCAGAGGTTCCCAAACCTCAATTCTTGACTTCTGTGCACCCACAGGCTCGAAACCACATGGAAGCCACCAAGGCTTGGAGCTTGCACCCTCTGAAGTAAGGGTCTGATCTGTTCCTTGGCCCCTTTAAGCCACAGCTGGAGTTGAAGCAGCTGGGATTCAGGGCACCATGTCCAGAGGCTGCACAGATCTGGGAGGCCCTGGACCCAGAACATGACACCATTTTTCCCTCCTAGGCCTCTGGGCATATGATGGGAGGGGCTGCCACGAAAGTCTCCACATCCCTTGGAGACATTTTCCCTATTGTCTTGGTGATTAACGTTGGGCTCCTCATTACTTATGCAAATTTCTGCCTTTGGCTTGAATTTCTCTTCAGAATTTTTTTTTTTTTTTAATTGCATTGTCAGTCTGCAAATTTTCCAAACTTTCATGCTCCACTTCCTCTTGAACACTTTGCTGCTTAGGAATTTCTTCCACCAGATACCCTAAATTCTCTCTCTCAAGTTCAAAGTTCCACAGAATTCTAGGGCAGGGGCAAAATGCTGACAGTCTCTTTTCTACAACATAGCAAGAGTCACCTTTGCTCTAGTTCCCAACAAGTTCCTCATCTCCATCTGAGACCACCTCAGCCTGGACTTCATTGTCATATCATTATCAGCATTTTGATCGAAACCATTTGACAAGACTCTAGGAAGTTCCAAACCACACCACATCTTCCTGTTTTTTTCTAAGCTCTCCAAAGTGTTCCAACCTCTGTCTGTTACCCAGTTCCAAAGTCGCTTCCACACTTTCAGATATCTTTACAGGAGCACCCCATTCCCGGTGGTGCCAATTTACTGTATTAGTGTGATCTCACACTGCTAATAAAGAAATACCTGAGACTGCCAAAGGTAAAAGCTTAATTGACTCACAATTCCACATGACTCGGGAGCCCCTTTAAGATAATTCTGCTTTACATGGTCATCATTATTTCGTGCTGCTGATTTGAGTACAGGATAATTTATGATATCTCTCACCATTTCAAATGCATAGTTGATTGGCATTTTCTGCCTGCTGTTCCAATCTGCTGTCCAGGACTCATTTACAACCAGGTTTCTCAGGAAAATAGACTTTCTTCTTTTTTTTTTCCCCCTCATACTAAAGTTGGTGACTATCAATGGAGAGTGGGAGACTACTACCACACATGGTGCACATGATTTGGCAAAGTGCATGTCAATTCTTCCACATAATTGATGCTCTATCTTTCAAATGTCAGAATGGTTGCCTTTTAGCTATTTGAGGTGTTCATTTTTAAAACTTAATTAAAGTGTATATTCTGAATGTACAGAATATCACTTAAAATTTTCCACATCACTTGGAATTATTATCAAAACATCAATTATTCAATGATTCATTCAGGAACTGCAATAAAACCTTCTGCATTTGATGGCCTTGAATGACTAGATTTTTTGAACTTTGCTATCATAATATATATATTTAAAAAAATGTTTTAGGAGTTTTCCTCACAGTTACTCATCTCTTTGTTTCCAGCACTCTGGTAATTTTCAGTTAAAAAGCAAAATCCTGGCTGGATGCGGTGGCTCATGCCTGTAATCCCAGCACTTTGGGAGGCCAAGGTGGGCATCTCACAAGGTGAGGAGATTGAGACCATCCTGGCTAACAAGGTGAAACCCCGTCTCTACTAAAAATACAAAAAAATTAGCTGGGCGTGGTGGTGAGCGCCTGTAGTCCCAGCTACTCGGGAGGCTGAGGCAGGAGAACGGGGTGAACCCGGGAGGTGGAGCTTGTGGTGAGCCTAGATGGTGCCACTGCACTCCAGCCTCGGAGACAGAGCAAGAATCCATCTCAAAAAAAAAAAAAAAAAAAAAAATCTGAGGATTTCAGGCAAGATTACGCAAAGAATAAATGCATTCTGAGTGGGTACATCTCTTTTCTATAATGTATATTAATTCAAAACCCAGCTAAAACTTAGACTTTTATTTACCTTGTTAGCGACATTTTGAAAAGCTAAAATTATCAAAAGGAGAATCTTCAAACAATTAGTGATTTTAAATACAGTTCCAGATGTTGGTGCCTATGAGTCATGAAGTTTTCATAAGATTTCATAGCAAAATTAAAGTTGCTAATAATGATAATGTTGTCTGTAATAAAATGACAAGGAAGATGAAAAAGTAGGCAGCCATGACAGGATATTTTATCTCAGTTTTTTTTATCCCATTTAGGAGATTATCTTTCAGACTGAGATTTTTGCTTCCTATAATTTCATGTTCAAACAGCATTTCTTCGATGAAATAGGAGTGATGATTTTGGTAGATGGTGTTTATAGTGGCTTCTCTTGTTAATGCTATCCTCTGGCAAATGAAAACAATGGTAATCTTCTGGGTGTCAACGGGATTTAGATATTTTATTCTTCTATGAATACTGACAGTTGAGGGTCACTGATCTAACAGGCAATCTCCATGTTAGCTCCTAACCAAGACAATATATTAGTATTTTGTTTTTGGTAGTGATGGTGAATCAAATAATTAAATTTGCCACCATGTTGTTTTGAAGTTGTATTGTGACAAACAAAAACATACGCCTGCCCCATTACCAAGAATGTTAAGCTCTAAATTTATTCTATAAATACATAATGACATATAGCAAATAAATTGCAATGAACCTATTACAATACATTTCAATATTACGCAACACTAATACGTGAAGTATCTAACAATTCAGGGATAATATATTCTCCAAGGCATTGAGATGAAGAAAAAATATGAATTATTCTTGAATTGACAGACTAAACAATAAAGGTAAGCCCATTTTTACTTCCGTGCACCACAGATATTTCTCATAGGAACTTCTTCTCTTTCATATACATGAGTGTCATGTGAACCCTGAACACATATAAATTATCTCAGAATATAACTTCAATCTAGATACTTCTTTTTCAAAACATCATTCCACCTGGTTACCCTCTTGTAATACAACCTGCACAAACCACATTTATACTATTTCTAAAACCTAAGAAATATAAAAATGTACAAGTCTATTTGTGTTCAAATAGAAAAATACAAAGAAATGAAACATTACACTAGATTAGATCTACAAACCATTTAGGCTAGTTTTTCATCTTCTATAACATCATCTTTTAGTTTTTCTGTATTAAACATTTCTAATAATGCCATATATAATATTATAGGAAAGATATTATAAAATTGATTGTTATATTGCATGTTAGACTTGAATGTTTGTATTTGTGTTAATGATTTTTTCTTGTTTTTCAAGGAGAGTTTTCACTTTCTTTAACAAATCTCAGTTTGGGCTGGACACAGGACCACTGACCTAGTGACATTTTCCAGAATCTCTTCAACTTAGCTCAGCATGTGACCTAGTGTTAGCAAATAGGGTACAATGAGATAGAAGAGACTATTTCCTGGGTGGACTCCTGAAAAGCAATGCTCGTGCTTCACCTGGTTATCTTCCCTTTCCCTCCTGCTGGAAGAGGATAGTGGCAGAAAAAGATATTTTTGAACCAAGGGTCATTCCATAATTTAAAGACAATAGAGCTGTTTTAGAAGCTCTTCGCCTTACTTCTAGACAACTCTGAGACAAAGGGTAAACTTGTTTTAACTTGTGTAAGCAACTTTTCTCATTGCATCTAAACTTCCTTCCTTCCCTCTGCTTCATAGGTATAAGACATTCGTCATGATATGAAGCCACTCATGACTGTCCCTTATCATTCATAGGCTATTTCTTGAATAGATTTCTTACACATTTAATGTATCTTTGTGTGTCCTTCTTGGAGGATGCAACTAAAACAGTGAATCTTGTCTCCTCTCCTTGAGGCATCAACAATTGTTTAGCATGACAGTATCATTACTATTTCATTGCTATTACTAAGGCTTGTATGAGCTACATTTTCATATTACAGAGATATAAGAATAGATTTGGAGATGAGAAATATAGAAAATTTATTATTTTAGTTAAATCTATATTAATCAGAATGACATATGTCCCCCTGAGAAATGTATGAGATGATTTTACTACACAGCCTACACAGCAAATAGAACCAATGAATGTATTTATTTTGTATGGTTTATGGTCAACCCCAGAATCTTCACTCTGACAGTCAATTGCCACTGCAAAACTTTATAGACATCACATAGAAGGTACAAGAGAGGGGAAAAAAAAGGGAAATTTTATGGACTTCCAGTAATTTGCTATTAAGGAAATTCTGATAGTCCAGATAAGGAAGAAATCCAGAAAAAAAAAAAAAAATCTACAAAAGTGACCATTACCTGCCTTTGTTAATTTTTTTTTCCCCTTTTGGTTATTGCAATGTTAAAACACAAAGATACCCAAAGGTTTAAAATATATTTTTTCTATTTAAAAATTTGCATTTGTATTAGGAGGAAAAAGAGTTACCAGATGTCTGAGTTGAAAAAAATCTGGCAATAATACTGTTTTTATCTGGTTAAAGTTAGAAGAAGCAAAAATTTACTTACCTCTTCTGCGTGAATGCCACAGAGCTTGTTTCCTGACAAGAGTTTGTTTTTCAAGCTTTTATTCTGAGGAAGAAAACATAGTTTTATTGCAAAGAAGAGACAAAATATTAAGAATTTCTTCAATTATGTCAGCACTACTGCTTTATTCTGTCCAAAAATTAGACCTTCATAATGTAAAATGCAATGCATTGGTATAAAACTGAATCAAATCTGTGATGTAAAAGATTGTTTTTTATTCAATTAAAATTTGGTGTATTAGCATTAACACATTCATTTAAAAAGGTAATTTCCAGTTTTATTCTATTGTGGGCAGAAAAGAAAATCGATGTAATTGTATTTTTTAAAAAATGTTATTTTGTGTGTGTGTGTGTGTGTGTATATATATATATATATATAATTTTTTGTGACCTAAAATACAGTCTATCCTGGAGAACATTCCATGTGTATGCTATAACTGTTGGGCAAAATGTTCTGTCAATGTCCATGAAGTCCGTTTGGTCTAGAGCACAGTTTAACTCTGATGCTTCTTTTTTTCTATTTATTTTTTTGAGATGGAGTCTCACTCCATTGTCCAGGCTGGAGTGCAATGGTACGATCTCAGATCCCTGCAACCTCTGCCTCCCAGGGTTGAAGCTATTCTCCTGCCTCAGCCTCTCAGGTAGCTGGGATTACAGATGTGCACCACCATGCTTGGCACCATGCCTGTTAAAATACAAATTTTTTTTGTATTTTAAGTAGAGATGAGGTTTAATCATGTTGACCAGGCTGGTCTTGAACTCTGACCTCAGGTGATCTGCCTGCCTTGGCCTCCCGAAGTGCTGGGATTACAGGTATCAGCCACTGCACCTGGCCTTACTCTGATGTTTCCTTGTTGATTTTTTGTTCAGATAATATGTCTAGGTATGAAAATGGAGTATTAAAGTACCTTACTATTCTTATATAACAATAAATATCTCCATTTAGCTCTGTTATTATATATACATATAAAGATGCTCCAGTGTAGGATGCATATGTAATTGCAATTGTTATATCCTCCTACTGTAATGACTCTGTTATCACTGTATAATGACCTTATTTGTCATTTTTAAAATCATTTTTTACTGAAAATCTATTTTATCTGATGTAAGTATAGCTACTTCTAATCTGCTTTGGTTTCCATTTGCATGGAATATCTTTTTCATCCATTCACTTTCAGCCAATGCATGTCTTTACAGGTGAAATAAGTTTCTTATAAGCAGCATATATTTGAGTCTTTTTTTAGTCCATTTAACCACTTTATATACTTTAATTAGATTATTTAGTTTATTTATAGTCAAGGTTACTATTGATAGGTAAGGATTTACTACTTCTTCTGCACAGTAGAAGAAAACAATACAGTGAAGAAACAACCTGAAGGATGGGAGAAAGTATTTGCAAACTACTCAGCTGACAAAGGGTTACTATCTAGAAAAAACCAAGAACACACATCAAAAGCAAAAATCCAGTAATATGATTTATCAAAAATTGGCAATATAGGCCAGACGTGGTGGCTCACACCTGTAATTCCAGCACTTTGGGAGGCCGAGGTGGGTATCTCACAAGGTCAGGAGATCAAGACCATCCTGGCTAACACAGTGAAACCCCATCTCTACTAAAAATACAAAAAAATTAGCCGGGTCTGGTGGTGGGTGCCTGTAGTCCCAGCTACTTGGGAGGCTGAGGAAGGAGAATGGTGTGAACCCAGGAGACGGAGTCTGTAGTGAGCCGAGATCACACTACTGCACTCCAGCCTGGTTGGCACAGTGAGACTCCATCTCAAAAAAAAAAAAAAAAAAAAAAAAAATTAGCAACATATCTGAATAAACATTTCTCAAAGGAAGACAAACAAATGCCAATAGATATACTAAAAATGTTAAACATTACTAATCATCAGGAAAGTGCAATGAAGCAATGAAATACTACCGCACTCAGGTTAGGTTAGGATGCTTCTTATCAAAAAGACAAAAAATAACAAGTACTAATGAGGATGTGAAGAAAGGGGAACTCTTATGTACAGGTGCTGGGAATGTAAATTGGTACAGCCATTATGGAAAACAGTATGGAAGTGTATCAAAAAATTAAAAATGGATTACTATGTAATCCAGCAATCCCATTAATGGTTATATAAAAAAATAAATGAAATCAGTATGTTGAACTCCTTGATTCTCAGAAGCCATTTCTTCTTCCAGGCCTGAGAGGTATACTCTTTCTGTGGTGTATGAACGAGTACACACAGATCTGTTACCCTTTAAATATCTCATAATTGACACAATTCAAAGACAAATGCTTGTTCCTCTGACATTTCTTAACCATCTGAGTCTAACCTCTCATGGCTATTTAATTGTATCTGGTTTATTGCACTCAGGCTTTTCTGTCTTTTACTCCAATAACTGAAGAATGTGGGCTGTCTTTAGTTGGGCAGGCTAAAGGAGAGCAGATAACTGTAAAACCCACAGGATTCAGACATCATACTGACTCTCTAGGAGTAGACAATGTCTTGGTACAAGTACATATTATACATGATGACTCTAAGGAGGGCCAACTGGATAAGCACCAGGAGCAAAATGAGCATTTAATGCAGAGTGAATGAACAAATACATCAAGTTTAAGAGTTCCCCACTTAGAATTCCAAGCTAATTTTGAACAGGATTTTTTATTTTGTTTTCCTATCATGGAGCGAGGGGATACAGTTGTTCCAGTTTGAAAGAATACTTGTTTTTTTTCCTCTTTAGCTAAAATTTGGAAATCTAAAAAGCTCAGTTAGAATTTCAATACCATGAAATGTTTTACACAAATGGGAGGAAGATATTCTGATTTATTCAAGTAATGTCTTTTTGCAAATATTTGCACTGATCATACAAGGTACAATATTAGGGTTCTTTTTGTAAAGCGAATCTGATATACCATAATTTCATATTTGAAGAGATATGTATCCCTAATAAACATAACATATTGATATGTTCTGGCTCTGCAGTGTTGCTCAGATTGTAGCAAAATAAAACCCTTTAAAATGGAGACAAAATAGGGGATGTACATTGGATAGGAGTATTTATGTCCTACCAAAAACCACTCACAATTGATAAACACTTTTGGAATTAAAAAATAACTATAAATTAATAAATAGCATATTTAAAACTTGGTATCTGTAGTATATACTATTTAAAATTTGCATCTCCACTTAAAGCTATTTTTTCTTTCTTCTGTTCATTTATGTATCTATGTTTGTATTCATTTATTTTTATTTGTTCATTTATTAATGCTGCTAACACTCAGGGGAAATTTTGAATGTTGATCTGAATGATATAAATTATAGCAAATACTAACTTTTATCCTTCAAAAATGATATTATTTTATATTTTTTTCTGAGGAGGGAACATACCTGTTAACTAATATATACAACACAAGACTAATTTTTAGCATACTATTTATTTCATTGACCTGTTATCTCTGCTTGTTACACTGATTTCTCAGAATAGATTATTCCTTAATTACTTGGAGTAGGCTTTTCAATGATCAGGATGTGTCGTCAAGTTTATAGAGAAGCAAGCAGTGCTAAACATTCCACACCATTAGTGAAGCTAGAGTTTTGATAAAGACATTCCATAGAACCATTTAACTTTCTTCAATAATATTTACTCTCCAATCCCCCCAAAAAGATTAATGCTATGATAATATGAGTTGAATGATGTTAAAAAGATTTATTTTCTCTGGACTTCTCACAGTCTTTTATTAGAATATTGTGCTTCATGGACACAAAGAGGGGAACAAGAGACACTGGTGTCTACCTGAGGGTTGAGGGTAGGAGGAGGGAGACGATCAAAAAAATAATAATAACTATTAGGTACAAGTGTTAGTACCTGGGTGCCAAAATAATCTGTACAACAAACCTCTATGACATGAGTTTATCAATTTACTTTTATAAAAACCTGTACATGTACCCCTGAACATGTACTCCTGAACTTAATTACTATTATTAGATGTTTTAATAGTAACAAAATTGTGTTTAATATAAATGGTTTTCATAAATTTGATTGACAATAAAACATTTTGGACTAAATAACTTATCTCATTACTAGAATTTGAGAAATAAAGTTGCAAGTATTAACCTATGTTTGATTTTATTAAGGGAGACCAAAATATTACACTACTATATTCTACTGAAATTATATTTTTCATGTTCACTAGTAACATGATAAGAAAGGTTTAATTCAGGACTTTTGAAAAAATGTCAAGGCTATTGAAATAAGGGAGAGAGATGGGGCTCAACTCTAAAAATAGCAAAAATACAGCAAAGACAGCTGGGGATTTCTAGCCCACGAGCAGAATTATGGAGGTCAATGGAGAGACAATTACTAATAGGAGTGATCATGGGTAGAGGGATTCTTGCTAAAGCTGCCTAATAGAATCCTTGCTGAAAGCCATTTGATCAGATTTAGATATCAAGGATGTGGGGAGTCTCCCAAAACTGACTTAGCAGGATCCCTGCTACAATTGGACTAGAAGAGTCTAAGACAAGACCTGAGGACAAGGCCCATTTTATAAGCGAACTCAGAGGAGTCTTTCTAAAGTTTGGTCAAGAAGTCTTTGGGAATAGTGCTTTCTGTGCCCTAAGAAATGTTTGTTTACTTCAAAGTCATGAAGAAATTTTTCTCAAATAGTTTTCTTAAAATTTTATAGTTTTGGGGTATACTCTTTTGTGTAATCCTCTTCAAGTTATCTTTATTATTATTTTTTTTAATGAAGTGAGGTAAGGGTCAAGGTTCACTTTTAGTTTTTATTGCAAACATCCAGTTGCTTGTGCACCAATTGTTGAAGAGGTGCTCCTTTGTACATTGAAATATATAAGAGCCCTTGTCAAAAATCAATTGAGAAAATAACTCTTTTAACCAATATGAAGCATCTGGCCTCAGACAAGCCGTCTTGCCATAAAGAACAAGATAACTAGACAGAATATAATCAAACAAACGTTTAAGACAGTAGACAACCACTACAGCCAGACTATCGTACTAAAGAGAGGAGAAGTAGGCAAGAAATCACTGCAGTTG